CATTGTGTTTGCAGTTACATTGGGATAGAGTTGACATACGTATTTGTAATCCACGTGTCTTGGTTATGTGGCCTATTATTACAGCTGAACAACCATTTTATATTTGGAGGTCTTATGGAATCTAATCTATTGAATGGATTCTAATGCCATGTTCAGCTTCTTCCCTACTCTACTCAAATACTTTCAAGAGGCCAATCTTCAAATTCTCCTGAACCATAGCTATTTCTTCCACATTTTTTTTTCTATACATGGGGAAAAAAAGAGAAAGTGAATGAACTGTTTCTGTTTTAGGAAGGCAATTCAGGCAGGACAAGACTGGGATCAATGTTTAGTGCACTCTTGAAGGAAAAGGGAAATACTTTCATGGTGCCACATGAGTTTATTCTGAATTTGTCTTGCGTCCCATCTCCAAGAATCAGCAAGTAGGCAGTGGGAAGACAAACCATGTCAGGACAGATGGACCGATGATCTCACCTAAGATAAAGCAGCTTACTATAATGCTAAAGTCCTTGGCTATCTTTCCCACTACTAGCAGACCATATGATTTCTCAGTATTTAGATCACGTTGAAATGGAAATGTTGAACAGAAACATCATCATTTTGGACAGTACCTTTTCACAGAATTTAACACTGGCTCATAACATGCTTTTACTAGGCTTTCCAAAACTGTAATAATTTATACGGTAAATTATTGTTAGTTTTCTACATCCTGCAAGGGTGAGTAGGTGAAGAGTTAGGAAAGAGAATATCAAATACTGTGTCCTTCTTGCCAGGAATGTGCAGTAGGTTGCATCTAAAGCTTTGAGTAGCAGGCTCCAAAATTCTACTCCAAAAGTTTGAGGGGAAAAAGAAGACAAAACCAGGACATTGATGCTGGAACTAAGGAAAGACTGGAAAATTTCCTTATGTTGCTTTTACTCTCTGGACAACTAGCAGAGGATGTGGTTGGGAATCAAGATTTCTGAGACCTTGGGAGCAAATTAAGGAATGAAATGAAGGCTTCAGATTTGTGAATATTTAAGGTATGAATTTAGTTCCTTGAAGGCCTCAAAATAAGAAAAATGGGTCACTATTTTTGCAGCTCTGACTTATTAAACAGATTAGCAGAGTTGGAAGGGACCTTGCAGGTCATCTAGTCCAACCCCCTGCCCAAGCAGGAGACCCTACATCTGCCTCTACCTAGGATGGAACTTAAAAGACATGAATGATCTAAAAGGTACTGAGGTAGGCACAATGGTTAAATATGGAAACGTACTAGTTCAGGTAGTCTTCGATTTACAGCAGTTCATTTAGTGACCTTTTGAAGTTACAATGGCACTGAAAAAAGTGACTTATGACCATTTTTCACACTTATGACCATTGCAGCATCCCTATGGTCACATGATTTACATTTGGATGCTTGACAACTGACTCATATTTATGACGGTTGCAGTGTCCCGGAGTCATGATTCCCTTTTGCCCTGACAAGCAAAGTCAACGGGGGAAACCACATTCACTTAACAACCGTATTACTAATTTAACAACTGCAGTGATTCACTTAACAAATGTCTCCAAAAAAGTTATAAAATGGGGCAAAATTCATTTAACGAATTTCTCACTTAACAATATAAATTTTGGGCTCAATTGTGGTCATAAATTGAGGACTACCTGTATTTGCAGAGCTTCAGAGACAAAAGACAAAACACACACATTATTTGAATGTCAATAATAAATAAAAGAAATAAATCAATACCTCAGGCCACATATTAGACAAAGCAACCTATTGAGATCCTTATATTAAACAACATATTTCATGTGCAGTCAGAATTAAAAAAAAGCATATGTAATATGGCTCTTTATTTGAACAAATCAATTCAGTTGAGATCTCCATATGCAAGTCTGATTGGGATAAATTTCAGGGATGACACAGAAATATGATTTATATTCTTTGCTTTATTCTTTTTATTTAATCTGTTTCTTTTATTCCATTTTTACATAGGCTTTTATGAACGTTCTGTGTTTTATATTCTAAATTTTGATATTTATTTATTTATTTTATTTATTGGTTCGATTTATATGCCGCCCTTCTCTGGAGACTCAGGGCGGCTTACAATGCGTTAAGCAATAGCCTTCATACTTTTGTATATACCTGCTTAGTAGGGCTTTCGGACCTCCCCCAAGCGGTGTTCTTTTTTATACAAAGTCAGCTTATTGCCTCCACAATCTGGGTCCTCATTTTACCTACCTCGAAAGGATGGAAGGCTGAGTCAACCTTGAGCCTGGTGAGATTTGAACTTGCAATAATTACAGGCAGTTGGTGCTACTTTAACAGCACTTTAGTCTGCTGCGCCACCAACTCTTTTTCCACCAAGGCTCTTTTTATGACCTAGTGGCTAATCAATAAAGTTACACAATAAAGATACAGTAAAAGGTAATGGCTGGGATGAAGGTGTAGGCTTGTGTGTATGATGGTGGTTGTCTGAGATTCTAAAAGTGTGATCCTATGGGGAAATAAAGAAAGAAGTCATACTGATGATTATCAACATCAGTAAACCCGGTGAAAAAAAGATATTAGAGTATAATTCCACCGGTAGCTTGAAAACACTGTTTTTAATTGAAGTGTATACTCCATGGTGTTTTCTCCTTATCTTTGTGGCTACCCCAAAGTACCCTCTCCTTATTACAACAAGGATTTTTTCCTTATTACAACACCTTGGATTTTTTCCCCCAGATATACGATAAATGGTCAAAATCCCACTTGGAAATTATCTCCCTCTCTCTCCGATAAACCTCATTATGCTGTAAGCAATATTCATATCTTATTTCAACAACAGGAGAAAAGCATCCTATTTACTCCCCAAAGAGCTACAGCTGAGAGTTGGGAGGATGCTTGAGATCCACCCAGCAGAGAAAACCGGTTATCCCCTTTTTTTTTTATGCCCAACAAACCAAACCAGTAAAGAGAGAAGCTCTTGGCAGTTTTCTTGTGAAGTCACTGCCTTTGTTGTTTTAAACATTTCATTTAGAAAGAAGGACACCTTCACCAATGCGGGAAAGATTCTGGTGTGGTTTTGTGGAGGTGTTGACTAGAATTAGAGAAATATCAAACACAGAGTATTATCTCCAATAAGGGTTCCCTACTACTCCTACTATTATCCCTGCACTATTCTCCTCTTTCTCCATTTCTTAACCAACTTCAACAAGATTACTCAGTGGACTGAAGCATCCTATGTCAACAACTTGAGAAGCCATTCTCCCAACAAAAGTTGAGACATCTTGGTCTCTCCCAAGAACTGAACTGTGCACATTCAACTCTCTTTCCAAATGTTTTCTGCACTTTTGCTGCTTTGCAAAGCTGTTCCCCCCAGAGTCCTGAGGTTTTTGCACAGGAAAGGGTCAAAAGTCAACAACAGCAGCAAAACAGTTAGGATTTTTCTTTCCCTTTATCACATTATTATGTGGAGACACCACAACCATTTCAACACAGAAGGGCTGATCACAAAAAAATGGATGAGGAAAATAAAAGGAAAGTGCCTTGAAATGCCACCCTCACCTCTGTCTTACTTTTAATCTTAACCAAAGCTTCCTTACAGCATAGCAAAACCATTTTATTTGCAATTTACAGGCACATAACCAGCCTTTATTCCAAACAAGAGGCAGGTAATACCTTTCTTCCTACCTTGACCTCTGAAACCCTAAGACAGCCGGGAGACAGAATTATGCATTCACACTTTCACCCCGGGCAGGTCAGCACAGCAGTGCATTTCAACGTTGTCAAAACAACAAAACGCCCTTATAAGATGTTCTTACGGTTTTCCCATGGCGGAAAACAGCCCATCCCAAATTTACTACAATTTGGCCTGGCAGTACACTCCATATTACAACTTTCCCCTCACGTCTTGAATGTTCTCCAGATGAGGAGGACGATGGGACACCCAGTCCAACCTGTCTGAAGACAGCTCCAGTTTTATGCTTTCCAAAAACCCGTCCCTTTTAATTTCCAATAACTTTTTTTTAAAAAAAATAGGAGGTGTGTGTGTGTGTGTGTGTGTGTGTGTGTCTTTGTGTGTCCCTTCCATGGGAATTTGTGCACATCAATCCCACTCCAGGAGAGGAGGGAGACAGGAGTTTCAACTCAACCCAGAAAACTTTTCCAGACATTTTTTATTGAACTATAAAGTATTATAAAATACAACGTCAATAAAAAAGCAGTTGGGGGAGGGGAGGAAAGAAGAAGAGAGGAAAGATAGGGAAAAAAAGTAAGAAAAAGAAGCACTGACTTCCGACCTTCTCTGTTACAGCAAAAGAAGGCATTCACATCAAAATGCCCTCAAGACGCTTTTATTCCAACAAGCCGGGCTGGCCTAATTTTTAAATTTTTAATCGTTAACTTTTAACTTTTAAATGTCCAAAACGGGGTAGTTTTATTTTAATTAGATATGGGCCAAATTATTTAATATTTCTTAAATGGTTTTTTAAATTTTATATCTGTGTGTTTTATTTTGGCCGTACACCGCCCTGAGTCCTTCTGGGAGAAGGGCGGTATATAAATTAAATTAATAAAATAATAATAATAAAAAATAATAATAAAATCTCAACTTTTTTTTTTTTGATTTTTCACACTATAATAGGAACAAAGCCCGTTTTCTATAAAGACCTATCCGTCCCATCGGTAAAAACCCAAAGTCACATTTTCATCAACCTCCCGGAAAACTTTTAAAGCTTTGCTTTAAAAGTTGCAAACACACCAAAACAGGGACTTCTGCGCGCCCATCGAAAAGGTCCCCCCTCAAAAAAACGCGGTCCAAGAACTGGGGGGCGGCGTACCTATTCGGGCACACACACCCCCTCTGCAACACACACACACACACACATCCCGACCCGCAATTGTTGCACACAAAGGGAAGCAAGCGACCCCTTCTTAGCCTTTCCCCCCACCCCACCCCACCATTCCTCCACAATCCTTCCCCACCCGGCGAAAGGGCGCACAAGGAGCTGCTGCTGCTGCCGACGTCACTTACCAGCCGGGGAGACGATCCTGTGCCGGGAACGCGCGTGGTGGTGGGGAATGCCCTTTTATCTGGAAGCCGCGCACGAGTGCCGGGAGCTGAGGGGAGGCGGCGGCGGTGGAGGCAACATCTCCTCTGGCGGCTGCTCCGACGCCCCCCTCGCCCGGCTTGGAAGAAGAAGCAGCAGCAACCGCTTCTCCACCACCCACCGCCAGCCCAGCCTCCCTCGCTCGCTCTCTGTCTCTCTCTCTCTCTCCTCCCCGCCTCCCTTGCAAGCCGGGGCTCCTTAAGCAACAACCAAGCAAGGCGGGAGAGACCCCCTTCCCGCAGCAGCCGGGACCGGCCGCCTTTTGGGCTCTGCGCCTTTGGCTGGCTGCGAGCGCGCCTTCTTGGAAGGGCTGGCTGGGACCGGCGCAGGCAACCGCTCGCTCTCTTGGCAGCGGGGAAGCTGCTGACACAGGCTCGCCGGCAGCAGCCCTTCTCTACCGCCCGCTCGGCTTGGCCCGCCCCGCGCCGAGGCCCTGGCAAGTCGGAGTCGCTCTTGGGTTACTAAGCCAACCGCAAGGCCTGCCCTGCTGGGCTCCTGCCGCGCCCCACGGCAGCCTCCTCGGAGGAGAGTGGGGAAAAAATAAAGCCCCTCTCGGCCTCCTCGGGTTACGCGCGAAGCTTGGCCTCGACTTGGCCTCAACGTCGCTACTTTTTTTTTAATTTACTTTTTTGAGAAGGGGGGTTTTTTGACCCTGGGGGGTGGGGGGGTGGGGGGGAGTATTAAGCCGCCCACCCCCACCCCCCACTCCCGCAACCAGAAAAGGTCCAGCGGCTCCAAAAAGACGAAGGGCAACATCCGTAACTCGGGGGTATATATAGCCCCTCACCCCCACCCCCCAAAATAATAAAGCCAGGAAAAGAGGAGAGGGGGAAAATATATCAGGCGGGAAGGAGGAGAGGAAAACAACCAGCTGCATTCCGTTCCGGGACAAAGTTCTTTAAAAGTTTTTAAAAATGTATGAGATTTAGTGCCGAGGAAACCTACAGAAAATTGTGCTCCTTTTTTCCCCTTATGGGGTTACAGGGAGAAGAAAAGGGGTTCCTTCTTTCTTTTCTTTCTTTCTTTCTTTCTTTCTTTCCTCCTTCCTTCCCCTTCTTTCTCCTTCCTTCCTTCCTTTTTTTCTTTCCTCCTTCCTCTTCTTTCTCCTTCCTTCCTTTTTTCTTTCCTTCCTTCTCTTTCTCCTTCCTTCCTTTTTTTTCTTTCCTCCTTCCTTCTTTTTTCTCCTTCCTTCCTTTTTTCTTTCCTTCCTTCTCTTTCTCCTTCCTTCCTTTTTTTCTCTCCTCCTTCCTTCCTCTTCTTTCTCCTTCCTTCCTTCCTTTTTTTCCTTCCTTCCTCTTCTTTCTCCTTCCTTCCTTTTTTCTTTCCTCCTTCCTCTTCTTTCCCCTTCCTTCCTCTTCTTTCTCCTTCCCTCCTTCCTTCCTTTTTTTCTTTCCTCCTTCCTTCCTCTTCTTTCTCCTTCCTTCCTTTTTTTCTTTCCTCCTTCCTTCCTCTTCTTTCTCCTTCCTTTTTTCTTTCTTTCCTTCCTTCCCTCTTCTTTCTCCTTCCTTCCTTTTTTTCTTTCCTCCTTCCTTCCTTCCTCTTTCTCCTTCCTTCCTTCCTCCCTCTAAGCAACTTTACATAAACAAGGTCATTTTTTATAGCCACCTTTTTTGCTGGCTGATTTTATTGTTTTCCACTTATAATATTTCATAGAGCAAGTTTCACAATCTCAGCTTATTTTATTTTGCTTACATTAGGCTAAGAAAATGCAGTGACTTTTTTATCCCACGTTTATTGTTCTTATAAATAACTTACGAGAGGAAACACACACAATATTACTCGTATTTTCCCCACAACAACATCCCTGCAAGGTAGGTTGGGCTGAGAGAGAGTGACTGGCCCAAAGTCACCCAGATGACTTTCATGTTTTAACAGTCTCCTGGTTTCTAGGCCAGCACCTTAATCTCTATAACAAACTGGTATATATGTCCATGAATTGATTAAAAGGTGGTGGGGGGGTGTTTTCTTTTGATAATAACTTTTAAAATTAAAAATGGCAAGCATTTAGCATGAAAGGATCTGGTCTTGAAAAGATTAGAGCAAATTTAAATTACATAGTCTGGTTCATATATTACATGATACCATAACTGTTTGTTTTTAGCATGTCTTTCTCCAAATGGTTTAACATGTTGCACAGAGCAAAACACTGTTTTTTTTTAATCTGTCATTTAACATTCTCGCATACTGTACATGTAAACACAACTAGTGAACCAGTTCACAGACCATGCTAAACTGTGATTTATTTAAACATGGTTTGTTGACTAATCCACAATCAGATGGGTTCACAAACATTTTTGAGTTTAGTTGGGTTTTCTGTTTTTTAAGACCTACAGACCAATGGGGAAATCCAATTTTTTTTTACTACTGGTTCTGTGGGCAAGGCTTGGTAGGCGCGGTGTGGCTTGGTGGGCGTGGCAGGGGTAGGATACTGCAAAATCTCCATTCCCACCCTACTCCAGGGAAGGATACTGCAAAATCTCCATTCCCACCCCACTCCAGGGGAAGGATACTGCAAAATCCCCATTCTCTCCCCACTCCTGGGGGAAGGATATTGCAGAATCTCCATTCCCATCCCACTCTGGGGCCAGCCAGAGGTGGCATTTGCTGGTTCTCCGAACTACTCAAAATTTCCGCTACCGGTTCTCCGAACTGCTCAAAATTTCCGCTACTGGTTCTCCAGAACCTGTCAGAACCTGCTGGATTTCACCCCTGCTACAGACCCTTAAAATATGTGGTAACGGAGCAAATGATTATTCAAGGAGCAGCTGCTATTAACTGATCAGATTACAATATTTGCTAAACTCTACTGCTGGATACTTCCCTAGATGTTGGTAAGAGCACTATTGCCAGATTCAATTTTTTTTTTTTATTATTATTATTATTATTATTTTTAAATTTGATTTATATGCCGCCCTTCTCCGAAGACTCAGGGCGGCTTACAATGTGCTCAGCAATAGAGTATGCAAAATAATTCTTCCATTGACTATGGCTCCCTAACAAACATTTGCTTACATCCTCATCTGCATAGAAAGAAGAGCACTGTTCTGGATTCCTAGAAACTAGATTCGATATCCATATCAAGCATCAAAAATGGAGAATTCATTGTCTGGTTTCTTCTGTGTTTGCAGCCACAAAGTTCAGTCTTGCCAGTTTATGGTGGGTGTCTATGTGTCTGTGTTTATATCTAGATCATTCTAAAATCGTGGTCTGGATCAAGGAACGGATTTGCCATCAGTAGGAAAATAACCTAGGATTGAGAATCCTAAGTATCCTCATTTGGTGGCCTGACAAATGTCACTATTTGGAATTTATTGAAATTTCAAAGAAAAGTGAATGCAGTTTCAGAATTCGGGAACGCAGAAAATGTAGTGTAAAATGCACAACCACATCTAGAAATGGAAGGCAAAAAGGGAGAAATGGAGATGCTAAGTCATGTTGCTGAGCCATTGTTTAATCAAGCTGGATTGTACTTGAATTGGTTTATACACTATGCTATTGTTAATAAACTACAGTTCCTGGATTTGTACAACCTAGTAGCTGACACCTGAGCAAACTACACTAGTATGATTCAAATGATTTGTGCAAGCCATCAGAGGCAACTTATGTTTGGCAGGCCAACTGTTCTTTCCCTTGTACAAAAATTGTAATTGTTTATGCTTGTGCAAACCATATGGAGCATGAATTGCCTTGGAATCTAATCTCAAGACCAACCCCCCCTTTGTTTTGCAAATACAGATATTTTCAATAAAATATTTCATAATATTGTATATGTTTTCGTGTATGTTGAATATTTAAGAACTGCTGATAATTCTCAAATTTATTATCATGCATTAAACTGAAGTCTACTAAGCTATTGGTCAGGAAGCAGTACCCATAGTAACAGGTTGTCTCAAACCTATACCAATGGGGAAAATATATAATCTCGCTGGCATTGCCCTACCTAAGATCAGGAGAGAAGTAGCAGCAGATGCCAAGAGAACTAAGCAAGAGAATAATCAATATTCCCTGAATGAACTGATTCAGATCTAAGAACAGTTCAATGGCCAGAACAAATATTCTTGAGGGTACACAAGAACAAAATCAAATTAAAAGATGAAGGAAGGAGACCATTGAACAAGGAATAACATTAAAGGAGGATATGGCTGAAAGATCTGATCACCCTTACGCTACCTGGTGGATCCTGAATAGGTTGAGAGTTGGAGGACCTAAATGTAAAACCAATGTGCTCAAGTGAGACTCTTAGCAGATAACAACACACTGTGAACATGGAAAGAGACAGATCCCGGTCCATCTGCTGGTATGTTGGCTACTACCAGAAACATGTACCCATAAGGACTTATTTTTGGCCAAAGACAAAGCCAAGAAGATGGCTTCATTCTGGCAGTTTAAAGTTTGATCTAGACATGGAAGAAGAAGCACTTGGTCTGAAGTTGCTCCTTAGGAAAAACTCTTCATTGTTCTTAAGATTAAAGCCTTCATGTTGCACATTTAGCTGGACCGCCATTCTTGCAAGTTCTGTGGCAATTCCCGCTTTTTGCTCTGGAAATTACCTTTCTTAACCTGCTCAAATGAATATGAAAATAAGCTAAAACTCGCAAAGTATCCTGTGATTCTGTTTTTACCATTGGGGGAAAAAAAAATCAGGATTTGAGTTTTAACAGATAGCTTTCTGGTCTTTTTCAGTGTCTAAAAAACTGTCTGTGTTTGGAACCCCTTATACCTCATGTTTAAGGAAAATAAAACAAATGGTTTCTGATTATGTAACAGGAAGACCTATCCATAAACTGTATAGAATTAACATATCGGGAAACAAAGGCATCTCCATTGTACTGCCTGCCCTCTTGAGTGATCTCCCTTCAGGCAAAAATTTGGATTTGACCCTGTTGGCCTTTAGAAAAAAAGTAAAAACCTGTTTTTTTTTTTCCCTTTCTTTAGGTGTGATGCCAGGATGGTTAGAGTTCTATCCAGAGGGAAGTATGAATCTTGGATTTATCAATTAATGGATTTAATGAAGTTGTCTTCATTAAATTTTGATTTTTTACTGTACACTGACTGGAGTATCAGTTCAAACTAGGCAGACTATATGGTACATAAAATA